ATGTTGGCTGAGATTGTTCAAAGCTGACTAGGAGACTTGGCCACACAATTCCCACAGACGTCTGTCTAAATTCCCTGGTTAGCTTTGAAAAGCTGATCAGTAATGTTAAGGGCAGGCATAAGGTGATCTGTAATAAGGGCAGGCTTTCTGAAGACGAGGAAGTTGGACAATACCATTACAGATTATTTTGTAATTGGAAATTAGATGAACACACATTAATAAATACAGTGGCCGAAACATTAAAAGTTGGGGTGCTTACAGCAAGCAGATCTACTTAATCAGGCAATTTAATGCAATATTAAGAGAAACATGCAAATACGCGTTGTTTTCATTAGCAAAATGGGGGAACGGGGAGGAGCATATTCAACATGTGTGTGTGTGATGTTTCTGGCTTACCATTGCCACCTTCCTTTGAAAATCGGGCTTCAAAAACTAATCTTTAGAGTGTAGTAGTGGGCAGCCTGCAGCTGGAGACTCAACTCTGCATGGCCCACGAGATGCTGCTATGGGTTCATCGGCACCGCCCACAAATTCTGGGTATGCAAGTGCAGTTAGCAAAACTGCCCTGTCCCAGGAGACTTTCTACAACAATAGTACAGTCCACTGAGAAAAAGGAGGGACACCCATGAGGCCCACTCACTAGCCATCGCTGCTTTAAGACCTATGGGGTTTTTTGAGACTTGACTAGAGAACGAAACCTAGGTTAAAGCAGGAGTTAGACTGGTAATTGTCCTGTTTTGCTTTCAGGGAGCAGAGAGTCACTGGAACCCTTGTATTCATTCTTACTGGCGTGTCCGTCTTTATGGCTCCCATCTTGAAGGTAACTATGTTAACTTTTTGCCTTTTCCATCTTGGGACACTGAAAGATAAGGAAGCTTACCCATATTGCAATAGCAGACTATTTATGTTTATTATAAGCCTTCCATAGCGATACGATGACATGGGAGATTATAATTATTGATGTACTTTTTATAATTTAGTGCGATCCTAAAATAGACGTTTTAGGATGAAAAAAATCTGTACAGTGCTGCCAAGAAATGTTAAGGTTGGTTTGGTGGTGGTGGTGTTGTTGTAATATAAGAATTACTTCAAATGTCTGTGTGCAGCACTGTTACGTTGTACTCCATATGTTTCATGCATTTACCACATACATGTGCTCATGCAAAATATACCGCAGACAGTTTTAGAGGGCTTGTTGGAGCCAGGCTGGAAGCATGGTTAATGTCACAAAGTATTTGCTCCACGGGGGACTCCTCTTTACTGTGAATATCCAGTCAAGAAAAAGAAATGGGAAATGATCTAAGCATATTTGTTTAGCCATTTACATACTGCTTTGCATCACTGGACTGGCACAAAGCAATCCTAGTATACTACTGAATCTGGCCCGTGTACCTAGAGTCAATGCAAGGTGAAGGAATGTCAGTATTGTTGAACTGACTAACGCAACCAGAGGGTTATGTGTGACAGAAACAGTTTCAAACAAATTCCCTTTCCAAACTCCCCAAGAAGCCAGAGTGACTTCACTTTATAGTCGTATGTACCAGGAAATCAATCGGCATATACAAAATAAGACCAGTCCTGTAGCCCATCCTGTTAGTACTGAGGGTTCCTATTCCTGTAATAAACGTTAGTTACCATGGCTGACTTTTGAGTGATCTCACGTATGCGTGTAGAAAATTGGCATTTGGCACCTTGCTCATGGTGTGTGTTCCTCACCCAGAGTGTAGACATGACTTAGATGACAAAGAGTATAAAGAATTACTGGATTTCACCAGCTGTTAGAAATTCAGTTCTCTTGGCCATTCTGTATACTGGCCATCTAGCAATACTCAGGTGCATGCTCTAAGCTTTTTTCCCTGAAACCAGCAGTATGTGCAGCCCTCAGAAATACTGCACAGCGTGTGCATATGAGGAGGGTGAGAGCATAGAAATGCAATTTCTTAACCTTCTGTTTTTCCTGATAGACAGCTAGTAGACTTTCAGCCCAGGTACTGCTCAACTCTGCCTCTGGTTAGTCTTGAAAACTCATTCCCTTTGGGTTTTTGTCAGTTTGCCACAATGTAAATATTTGCCTATTTATTGAGAGCTGGGGTTGATTTGTATACTGCTTCATACATCATAGAACTAGAGAAGCTAGTTACTGATCTCTGATGCAGGAACTCTTTTCCTGGTGTATTAGACTTTTGTGATGATGATTATTTATTTATAGCATCCAAGATGCAGGCCGGGGGTGGAGGCAGGAGGACAGGAGAGTTGTACCAAACAAGTCCCAGTCCTGCAGATTTACAGGCGCAATGCAGAACAGTATCACACATTATGATCTAGAAAACAATAGCAAGGGGCATAGTAATTCAGTGATGCAATGGGTAGGTATTAAGGGGGAAGGCAAATGAGAGCTTTATCTACGTTAATCAGAGAGCAATGTTGTGGAAAGGCATGAATGAGCAAAGGGAAAGATGTGACGCTGGGGTAGAGAAGAGGCAGTAGAAATGAATACAGGAGATGAGGGCAGAGGCCTAGGAAGGGACCAGTGGAACAATGCCTTGAAGAGGAAGAAAAAAAGCTTTTAAAAAAAATAAAAAACTAGCCTGTTCTGAATTTCAATGGCTGGGTTTACTCCTAGTAAATTCCTCCTCATGGTGTTACAACTTACCCAAGAATTTAAGTGTTTATGTTCTCATGTATAAAATTTTGATGCATTTGGTTATTACTGTGTGGCCTTGCCCTGTAGAAATCTGTTCCCTTCCCCCCACTGAGCTTTTTTTATTTCTAAGCAAGACTTGCTCTGTCCCGTGACCGTTGTATGTGTTTGCCCAAAGGATGGGTCTGTGCGTCTGAGGGAGGGGTAGTAGGATTCCCAGTAGGGTCAATAGGAGTTACCTGGCTCAAATTCCAAGATCTTTAACAAAACTCCGCAGTGGTTCTGCTGTTCTAAGGACTCCTCATGGAATGCATTGTGAAACCTATGCGCCTTATGATGGCAGTAATAATCGGCATGCCAACAAGCCCAAAGTCAATAAAACAATGAAAAGTATAATTGCATCGCTGCAGCTTGTTGGGTGTTTTTTTTAATGTCCTTGGTACTTCCATTTATTAGTGATGTACCTCCACTGAAATATCTTAGTTCTTGATAAGAGAATGATAAGCAGTTTGCTATGAATACGTTATTTTCTTTAGTTGGCCAGCAACAGGTTTGTTTTGAGTCTGTGGGCTAGCACGTCCTTCCCCGACCAGAGACTATAGTGCCAAAATGAAATCTTCCACAACTGAAGGACCATATTTTTCTCACTTGACTGAATTAAAAGCATGATACTGTATGTAGACTCCACTGAGAAGTTTAGTTACATGTTTAATTATCCTGCAACAGTGCGACGAAACTCATATACTTTTTTATTGAGAAACAGCACAGAAAAACTTGAGCACAAAACTAAGATCTCCACAAACTTTCCACCTGTCTCACTTTTTAAAGAAACTGTCTTATTCCTTAGGCTACACCTACACAGTGGAACTATTTCGGGATACTGGAGGTATCCTGAAATAGCTATTCCGCATCTTAAGAGCAAGCCCGTTCTATTGAAATATAATGGGCTTGCTATTCTGCCGTCCCTGTAAACTTCATTGCACGAGGGATAAGCGATGTTTTGGAATAGCGAAATTTGGTGCTGTGTAGTGCAAATTGTGTAGCTTATTTCGAGGGAAGGGGGCTGTGTAGACGTACCCTTAGACACCACAGTAATGCCAACAAGACAGAGTAAGGCTCATTTTTCTCTTCCCTACAGCACGCTGCCAGAAGACTGTGGCAAGCAGGATGCAGGAAAACCATTTAGCATTTAACACTGAATATATATATGAATCACACTCAGTGAAGCAAGTGCTGCAAAGCCACAACAAGGGATTAATGTACCACAGAGAGACTTGCAGAAGGTGGTGGAGAAATGAGGCTTTGTTGAGAAATGGGCAGCTATTCTCATGCAGGCCTTGATCCTGCACAGATGTATGCATGCTTAACTTTAGGCATCTGTTTTTAACTTCAGTCCCGTTGACTTCAACACCACTACTTGTATTTTTAAAGGGGGTGTGTGTGTGTACGTACATAAGTGTTTGCAGGATCAAGGCCTTAAAGAAGTGCTTGGCTGCCACCGTGTTTATAACGAGCAAACGGTTAATAACATTGCAGTGGGGGGCACCATAAAACGTTCTTTTCTCCCGCTGGAAAGTGGGCATTTCGGCTGGTTTAAGAAATGTCACTCACAAGAAAAATCGAATGCAGTCTTCATTGAGAGAAGCATGCAGCATGCTGTGCCTGCCCTTCAGTGGTGGTTGCCCGGCATTGCACTACCTGCTTTTCCCACCATAGGGGATGGGATGCAGGAGCTACTCTTTTTTAAAAGTTTGGTATCAAATAAACCATATCAAGGCTTTTCAGCAAGATTTGTATTTGGCCTCTAGTCAGATATTTTGATTACCAGCACGTTGTGTTAGTTACACACAACTTTGCTGCTCAGCTGAGAGGCACTTTAATTTTTTGGCAGGCGGCGTGGTTATTTTGCTGCTGATAAAGGCTTGTTGTCAGAGGCTAGGGTACCAGATTAAAAAAAATCATGTTTAATTTCTCATGCGCTGCCATCGGTTGTGCAGCATGCTGCACAGCTGAAAACCTGCTTCCATCCCATGCTAGGGGGGATTACATTCAGTGCGGGTGGGGTGTGAATTGATTCCTTTGTATCTCCTGCCTCGGAAGGCTATCAGGTGTGTATTAATCAATGGATATTTGTAAGGCACTTTAAGAGCCTCCAGTTAAAAAGTATGCATCTGACGAAGTGGGTCTTTGCCCACGAAAGCTAATGCTCCTACACTTCAGTTAGTCTATAAGGTGCCACAGGACTCCTCGCCGTTTTTTCAGTTAAAAATAGATCCCAATCAAGTAGCTGGGCTGGATACTTGGCAGATAATACAGGCTATTTTAACCGGCCATGTTGAGGGGAGCAGGAGGACACTTAAATGGTGGATTTGCTAACGTTGACCCCTCCAAGCCATGTAAGGACCTACTCCCAGCCTGCCTCCAGTATGCAGCCTACCCTCTTCCTGCAACAACATTACCCATCCCACCACGCAGGGGCCTCTTGTGTAGGGTGGGCCGGGCTTGCCACCAGGTGACTGCAAGGTGGCGGTGAGGATTGATTGGCAGGCCGGTTGGGCAAGTGAGAGTGGTGACTCACGATTGTTAGCACCTGACTAGTTATGAATTAACGTGGGTTAAGGATTGGGCAGAGAATAAGCTTTGGTTCACTTTGTTATCTAATCTCTGGTTGCAAATTCTTAAAGGAACCACCTTTCTTTTCAGACGTCTAGAGTTTCCAGAAGCTGGAAACTTGCTGGCAATAGAAGTCTCTCTCTATTTCAGCAGCTAGTCTCATTCGAAATCAAGCAGGTCAGGGGCACCAGCTCATTTTTCAACGTGAAAAGTTTTTATACCCTTATTGGAACATGTCTCCTAGCCCCCTGACTCTGCCTCCAGGCTGGGCTGGCTTCACTTCCCTTCTCTGTTGGGCAGACTTTTGTGCTATAATGAGCCCTGTTCTCTCAACGTACCTTAAGAGTGAGCTCCCTTTCCCTAAAACGTGGCATTGCTCTTTCGTGTTTGAAATTCAAGGTGAGCACAGGAAGTGAATGATGTTACTGTGTCCCAGCCAGATGACTGCTTTGAGGTTATTCACTGTGGTTTTTCCACCATTCTTTTCTTTTCCTTAGTTTATTCCCATGCCGGTGCTCTATGGCGTCTTTCTATACATGGGTGTCGCTTCCCTTAATGGAGTGCAGGTAAGTTCCCATAGCAACCAAAGCCCTTCTGATCTTTAAGGGTAGATTCTTTAAAGGACCTTGTCAAGAGGATGGTAATCATTAACATTGCTCTTATTTTAACTGCCTCTCCTTTCCCTGCTCCTCCACCTCATTTTCATTCCAAAAGCTCCTACCAAGGCTTCACAAATATTACCACATGCGTGTTGCCCTGTCGATGGTACCAAATAAAAGCTCCGTTTCCACCGGAGAGCCGCAAGTTCCAGCCTTCCGAGCAGAGGCAGTGTCATGTGTTCCCAGGGGGTGATTAAACCCAGCTCTCCGGCCACTCGCTCGCTGACACAGAACCTGAGAACAGCGTGTGCTCACTTGCTGTCGTCCTGCTTCTTAGATGGCTCAGGCCTGTAACTGGGCCTGCTGCTTTGCATTAGAGACAATCGAGTGAGCAGGATTTATTGTGGTTGTGTTATTCTTTGCCGTGCACTGGTGGGAACACTGCTATTCATGTGCTGAGCAAAGCCGAGCCCCCTGGCTTTGTCCCTGAGGAAATGTTACGTAAGGGAGCCTTTCTCCCAGGGCAGCTGCTTTAATTGGCATTAGGAAGCTGGAAGAGGTTCTGTTGTTTTCTATTGCCCACTAATTGCAGGCTTCTTCACCCCTTAGCAGTGTTTTAATGGGAGAAGACGACATGTTCTGAGGATGCCACTGACATTTATTTAGACCTTTATAAAAGGGCCTTGCCTTTCATCCTCTGGATGGAGGTTGAACCTAGTTTCCGAGTCGGCCAGAAGCGGGCACCAGGCCAGGCCTCCGCAGGGGACAAGCAGTCTATTTGTAATGCTCATGACTGCCTGGGTCTTCCAGGCGGAATTTCTCTCACGCTGTGGCCACGGAATGTTTATCAGCTGTCCCAGGACACCTGAGCGACAGGAAATCCTGGCTCGGAGAGTCATTGCTGTGGGGTTTTCAGTAGGGCCAAAGGCACCTTCTTTCTTACCCACGCATCAGCCTGGTTTGTTTCTCTTCAGTGGTAACAGAATCCCCATCCTCACAGCTCCTCTCTGACTTACCACCATCTGAAAAGGGCATTGCTTTTAAACGCTGCATGCCCGAGAGTCTGGGGAGACAATCTGGAGCTGAATTTGATGACTGTCTAGTGTGATGCTGTTGGCAGGCAGTGCCTCTCCTATAGAACTCTACCCTCTGCGCCAGCTACGGCTCTGGCCTCCAGGCTCTCGTTTTACACACTGCCTAATGCTTCCAAACCTGGAGGCCTAATGTTAGGCACCTAAATCCAAGCTTAGGCACCTTCAGCGTCACTGGCCTGACTGTTCTATACTGGGCAGCCGCAAATCACATTGAAATCCATTGGAGCAATAGCTTTTTAGCCCCCCTGAAAACTTGGTTAGCTGCCAAAATGGATTTAGGGGCCTAACTTTAGGCACCCAAGTAAAAAAAAAAATGCCCATTGTGCAGTAAATAAATATTCCATTAAGAGGGAAACAACTCAGCCCATTGTGTGCATGTGTGTCTGCTGTTAATGCAAAAAGAGTAGATCACCATTGGTTCACAAAGTAAGGGCCCACAATGCTTTATCACGCCATTCTCTGTACCCGGGACTCTGAATATTGTATCATTTAAATTTTTTCTTTCTTTCCTTTCCTGCTCAGTTCATGGATCGTCTGAAGCTGCTTCTGATGCCTCTGAAACATCAGCCTGACTTCATTTATCTGCGTCACGTCCCGCTGCGCCGGGTCCACCTCTTCACGTTCCTGCAGGTGGTGTGCCTGGCCCTCCTCTGGATTCTCAAGTCAACGGTGGCTGCTATAATATTCCCAGTCATGGTAGGTGGCGCTGTCCTGTTTCTACTGCATTTCGGCCTCCCTTTCCTAGTAGGGCTGGTCCCTTTAGTTAGACTGCCCCGCAGGGCCCGTTGCAGTGCTAAGCTCGTAGACCCTTAGCAAAGAGCTTTTGTCACTCCATCCATCACGCTGATCACAAGACAACCAGGGGAATGCCCTCAGCACCCTTTACTCTTTGTGGTCATGGTTGCTTTTTTGCAAATCTTTTTGGGGAACATGAGTTGATGAAGTTAGGTCCCCCCCCCCACTCCCGCAGGAAACCACAATTAATTTGAACCATTCACACTGCCACAATCAGGTTTCCCACCCCCAGCTGTGCCAGCATGTAAGAGGTACATTTTTTTCCTTGATAGTCCACGTTAAATACTGCACAGTCATCTTCCCTGCTTCTCCATAACCCAAACTGACAAAAGCAAAGGAATTTGAGGGCAGAGCTGTACTCGCTGTCCTTTGCTTATGTGCTGCTGTAACTCAGGGTGGGGAAATTGAAAAAGTTAATTGGCTAAGTCAGGAATGGGAAGTCAACTTTTATCATGGCTTTTCTTAAAACTGTGTGTCATAAAAATTAACACTGGTTCATTTACTCATTCCGTCTTTGGGGGAGAGCTTTTTGTTTTTCGGTATTAAATCAGTTGCACTCCAAATTGTTGCGTAAATGTAAACCATTGAAGGACACATAATTCACTCGGTTGTAGCACTGTGCATACGTACAAGGCTTACTTAGTGGTACTTACTTATAGAAAAGAACCAAGTGCACCTGGTAGCACCACAGACCAGGAACCCCAAGGCTCCCGTACTTCAGGGGAATTCAAATGCACACTTTACAGCAGGCTCCCTCTTTTTTACAAATCCCCAAACCTGAAGCCATGCCTATGCAAACACATGATCCTCGGAAGAGTTCAGCTGCCAGATTAAACAGCACAATTTAGGCCCTTCTCAATTACGTGTTTTATCTCTGATATAACTAGAACTCTTGGAAATGAAGATTTCATCCCAAACCTACTATGACCGGAACAATAGTGCCATTTATCTACACTCTGTTGAGCATAGCCTCCAGCTTAAAGACAGATCGGATTTCAGCTAGGCTCATGCTGGATGGCTCGTCATGAAACCAGGGATAAACCTACCTGATTTTAGGCTTAGGCCTTATCTCCACTGACTGGAAGATCGCTCCAATGATCAATCTTCCAGGGTTTAAGTGGATCTAGTAAAGACCCACTAAATTGAATGCAGAGGGCACCACTGTCGACTGTGATACTCCTTGCTTTCGCAAGGAGCAAGGGAAGTAGTTAGGAGTTTTTCTCATCAACCACCCACTGTGGAGCTGTCCCAGAAAATCGATACAAGGTAGATCGACTCCAGATACGCAATTCACATAGCTCGAGTTGCATTTCTTGCATCAGTCTTCTCCACCAGTGTAGATCTGGCCTTAGTTAATAGGTGAGTGAAAGCCCAACAGTAGTTGCACAATGTATAGTGTATCTAAGGAGACTCATTTATTCTTATTCTTGTGTCGATGCTGTTGGAAGGAACAAAGCTGATGCAATTAAGAAAATTCACTATGGTTCCACTGTGAAACATTCCTATGTAGAAAGATACCTTTAAAATGAGTATCTCTGGACTGCTGGAATATTAAGAGCCCCACCTTTAATAAACAGTGAAAATCCATTAGCAAAGGCATCTGAGAGAGACAGAGCTGCAATAAGCAGAGTTCTGAATGCACTCCCATCACAGACCCCCAGTTTATTACACCTGTGCAAACCCACGAAAGGCAATGGGGCAGCACTGGGGTGAGTGACAGCCCACCATGGCCTGCAGAGATTCAGTTGCTGGAGATGATTCACAAGCAGGCAAGAACCCAACTCTTCTTGTAGCTCTCAAGCTGAGTTTGAAGGACTGGCAATTAGAGAAATCAACCGTCTGTTTACTTGGAACCCAAGCACCTTTTAATACAGACCCAAAAGCCATGGGACCCCTCAATGCCTTGCTTTCCCAAAAAAAACCTTAAAAACAACAAATAGTCTAGTAGCACCTTAAAGACTAACAACACATGCTGATGGTTTCATGCGCTTTCGTGGGCACAGCCCACTTCATTTTCAGGGTAGAATTGTAACTTATCTGTGGCAGGGCATAGTGTATCCCTGTATATTGTTGCTGTTTACACTAACACCTGGTCACCTAAGATACTGAAATCTGGAGCCCAAATCAGCTGCAGGGTTTAGACGTCCAACCTGACGTGCGCTATTGCAGTAGCCTGTCAGCTTTCAGACGTGTTAATTTGCAGACAGGGCTAAGGCATTTTGCAATCAGAACAGGATCAGATCAAATATACAGGGTTAAAGGGGAGGTGCTGAATGGATGCTAACATTTAAATAAGAGAATGCTGCATTTCTGTCCCTGCAGATCCTGGCGCTTGTGGCAGTCAGAAAAGCCATGGACTATTTCTTCTCCCAGCATGACCTGAGTTTCCTTGACGACGTCATTCCAGAAAAGGACAAGAAGAAGAAGGAGGACGAGAGGAAGAAGAAAAAGAAGAAGGGCAGTTTGGATAGTGACAATGACGATGTAAGGAACCTCCTGCAATCGTGAAGTAATAAATTCTGGCTAGCTAATGCTGGGGGTCCCTAGGAGCGCTCCTTCCGCATGGCGCGGTGCGCTGGCCGCTCCATCCAGTCCTGCCAAGTTCAGCTCAGACTCAGCATGATGTTTACCTGCTGTAGTCTCCGGGCCCTGAGCTTGTCCTCCTTCAGCTGTCCCCAGTTCCTGCTGGGTGGCACTTCCATATCCAAGGACGAAGTCTTCCGTTTCCGCAGGCGTACTGGTCTCCGCGTCTGCTGAAATGTTACGTGTGCCGAGAGCACTCTCTCCCCTACTCTGTTTACCGTCTGACTTCCTTTCACTTTAGGCTTGTTACAGTGCTGGCTAGGATGCAAGTGCTTTGGGCGAGCAGCTCCACTATTCTGAGGGGGGGGGGACCCCACTTGTTTGGAGTACAGGAAGTCCCCGGGTTACGTACAAGATAGGGACTGTAGGTTTGTTCTTAAGTTGAATTTGTATGTAAGTCGGAACTGGTACATATTGTAGGGGAAACTCTAGCCAAACGTTTCTCCAGAGCTCAGTTTTATTCTCCCACACCTCACTTCCCTCAGTCCTTTATTCTCAAGCTGAGGTGTCTGCTGAGAGAAGCCGCGGAGGACGCGGGCGGCGGGACCGCGGCGCGTCTCGGCGGTCTGCTGGGGGTGGGGGCGCAGCTAGTGCGGGGTTGCCTCACCCCGTTTGTAAGTAGGGATCTGATGTAAGTCAGATCCATGTAACCCGGGGACTGCCTGTATTCCTCTGCAGTTTTTCTAAAATTCTCAAAGATAAGCCTTCCTTAGTCACATTCTGCAAGGTGTGTTGTTTGTGGCTGGTAATCCTGGTTTGAACATTGAAAGAGAAGTGCCTGTCTAGAGCGTGTTTTCCTGGGAGAGCTCATCTCTGCTTGCGGTGTTCATTAAAATAATGAAGCATAGTTGCTAATGTTGGAGCAGGTTACTGCGCTGAAGACTTAGAATATGATAATTGTTTTTTTGTTACGTATGGACTGAAACAAAACCGTTGCGTTTGTGCCTTTAAAGCATTTTCCTCCCAAGGCTTACTTTGAGGTCACATCTGTCAAATCGCAGTAGCGCTTCTGGAGTTGGCTCTTTTCAGTCTGGAAAGGACAATGCGGCTTTCATTCAGTATAATGTTGCCGAGTGCTTGGGGGTTTTGGGCGGGTGATGGTGGGGTTACTACTTCCTCTGCTCTGTGAAGAACCTGATTCCTGTGGCTGATAGAGGAAGGACACTCCCCCCATGAGGAATGCTGCTGCTACTCCTAGGAGATGAAAGAGGTGAAAAAATTGGCCCCTTATATCTAGAAATTCCATGTGTGTGCTTGTATAGTGCACCTCATTCTCTCACTGGTCGGCCCCTAGGAGGTAAGCATCAACGCTGCTTCCAGAACCCATGTTCAGCTGATGCGTTGGACCAGCTCATGTTGTTATAATATCCCCAAACGTCATACATTTTTCCTTGCCTCCGTGCCCAACAGCATTCCATGTACGTCACTGTAGCTAAACACACTGTGTCTAATGACAAGGAAATTAACTGATTGCTTTCTAACGCTTTTGGGGATTATAGCAATCCGCCTGAACGCAGGGTGGTGTGACTGTTGCGTATTTACTCAGGCTCACTGACACTTACAGTATTTGGTTGTATGGGAGGCGTAGTTAACGTTTCCTATGATTTTTTTTCCAGCATTCGTTGCTTGCAACGTGATTCCCACAGACTGCATGGGACAGTGGTGGGGGTTTTTAAAAATCTTTTCTTCTATAAACCTGCCCTCATGGGAGATGACACCGCAGGTTGTGTGTAATGCATTAGTGGTTAGGTGTCCAATGCTGACATTTTGGGACACAGATAATATAAATGGCCTTAGACCGAATGAACAAGGCAAGGTCTGTTGAGTTCTAAGTAGGGATTTGCTGGCAACCAGGCACAAAGATGTGGAAGGGATTGCTGCTCAGAAGCACACAGGAGGGTGTCCCTGGTTCCCTCTTTCTGAAGTGTCTAGTACTTTGTGGGAGCCCATCAGGAGACACCATCAAGAAATGCAAGAAGTGAGCCTCTACTGGACTTCGTGTTTCAAGCTAGGCTCCAGATAATTACTAGTAAAAAAATTTTGGCCACTATGTTTAGCTCAGGATTCACATTTAGTAACCTTGTCAGAGCTGACATCTTTTGCAAAGATGCAAAACCTTTAATGCTTTTCTTTTGCTTTCTTGTGTTGGAATTTGAGATTTTTTTCCCTTGTAGATGGTAACAACCTCTAGTGCTAGCAGTGTCATGACACATATTATCCTCCTTTTTCTGGAAACTGCAATAGCCCCCACCAGTCCTCCCAGGTAATTTGGGATGGCTTGGCTACCTCTCTGGATGTATGCTGTTAAGCTTTCACTGCCAAAACTGACAGTCATCCCTGGAGCTCATAAAAATATTTCTAAAGAGCAAATATTCTGCCTTTGAAATGGACCAGATTCCTACTCGAAACATTGGTGAATTACCCAGCAATCCATGCAGATACTGGAAGATCTCTGTACAACGGCTTCCTACCCAGCATTTCAAATGGCGTGCTGTGCTAGTGCCATCAATGCAGAGCCTGTATCGTTTCAGGAACAAAGTCTAAACGTTTCTGGCCAAGTGCAACTTTAATATTAATTCCTCTGCCAAGTGAGGGTTTACCCCCTCTTGGTTATGAGAAAGGGTTGTTATTTAAATGGGCAATCAAGACTTAAGTGTGTTCTTTAAGTCCACGGAAGTCAATGGGACTTAAGCATGTGAAAGGCTGTCCAAATTGATAGATCCTAGTCCTTCCTGTCTCCTTGTTGTTGGCATATAATACCGAGAACATGGTGTTTATCCGCTGCTAAGGGTCTGAGCCAAAGCCTGTTAAAGCCAATAGAGGCCCCTCGGGTTAGAAGGCGTGGACTTCCCTTGCTAAAATGCTGGCACCCTCTATCTGCATTGAAACCACCCCCTAGCTGCTTAGTCATGCTTCTGCTGGATTGTAAAAGCTCTTCAATGGAGTGTGGAAGTAGGGCACTAAATTAAATCTAACTTGAATTGTAATTGGGACTGGTTATATTTTTTGAATGGAGGGGGATAAGAAGGCCCACCTAACAGAGGCTGCTATGGGACTCTCCCCTCCTGTGTCTTACCATAGCCATCTCAGTTCCAGCAACTTCCAAGGAAAAGAAACATCCCCCTGGCATTCCAGGAAAAAAAAAAAAATTCAGCAGAGGTAACAGGTCTGATGGGTTTTCACACGCCCCAATGCCGTGCAGCTGGTTTTCCTGTTCCGCTCAGGGCACTCGCCCTCTTTGGCTTCTTTGAACTGGAAACTGAGCAGACTTTTATACATTGGGGACAAGTGTAGTGGGAGAAGGTGAATCTACAGCTCCGCTGCCTTTGTCTTTGTAACCTGCCTTGCTTTTGTAGGAAGGGAGGGGGAAGGGGAAGTATGGTGCGATGGGCCGGTGAGCACATAGAAACAACTTGTTTTTCTTCCTCCCTCCTCTCCGCCGTGGCTGTGTGAAGGATGCATTTAATGTGTGGGGGGCACTGAGAGAGAGCGAGCTTTGGAAATATTCTAAGACCTTTTGCACATTTCTTTCACAGTCCGACTGCCCCTACTCAGAAAAAGTCCCAAGTATTAAAATTCCAATGGACATCATGGAACAGGAACCTTTCCTAAGTGATAGCAAACCTTCCGACAGTGAGTAGAACTAACCTCTTGCATGCCTGCTTGAGTGTGACTTGCATTGCCAAAACTACGCACACACACACACACACAGACTTAAAAAAAAAAAAACTCTCCTCGCCTTTAGACATTTTTCCTTTTTTTTTCCTTCAGTAATTTTCAAGCCTCTCGTTTTTGGGGGTAACTTGTTCTTTTCTTTTTACAAGTTTTGTGTTTATCCTTCTTGGTGCCTCCACTTTTAACTGCCTTTATCAGCTACTAACAGGGCTCTTGCTAGCACGCTCTCTCTCTAACCCTCTAAATCATCCAGTCCATTTCTGTTGTGTTGTGTGTGGTGTGTGTGTGTGTGTGTAAATTCTGTCTGTCTACTTGGTGTCTCTCCCTTGCTGTTTAATGTTCTGGATTGCAGCAGATAGAACCAACATCCCCTGTCCATTACTGTTTTGTTTTCTTAGGTCCCAACCAAAAATCAGCACTCAACAAATTAGGCCTGCCATTGATCTTCTAAAATAATTTAATTGACAAGGTGGTGATCATCTAAATCTTACTCAGTATCATATTTCCCTTCGTAGGTGACTTGCTTTGGTGTTAAAATCTGTTCCTTCTCGCTTGGTTTTTTTTTCTACTTTAATATCAAAATTGATTCTATCTTTCCATTTTAGTCTTTTTTGTTTATTGCTCTTTGCATTTTCTAGTGTTATAACGTGTTTTGATAAGCCTGGAATTTCAGATTAATCGCCCTGAGTTCTCAGGTGGTTCGTGTCAGCTTTTTAAAATTACAAGCAGCAGGTAGGAGATGAAGTGCTGTTTGGGAATAATGAAACTGAAGGGGAACCACAAATGTCTGTATTATTGAGTATTTTAGGGGCACAAAGGGAATTGTTAGGCTTTATTTAAATTCGCTGTTGGTGAAACCTTATGGCTGCATTGTACTGGTGAGATTGCCTAACTATTCAATTTCCTTCTGTTTAAAGGAATCCTGTCAATATTTAGGTCCAGAGGGTATAATTTTAAAAAGAGCTTAAGTGACTTAGGCTCCTAAGTGTTTTTTGAAAGCCACAGAGCTGGTGTAATGGTTTCAGCTTCTCCAGGGTCCTTCAGCCCTTCTCTCCCAGTAATATGCAGATGAAGAGCAATAACTGGGTCATTATGCTAGGTTATACTTCCCCCGTCTTTTTATGCATTTTAAGCCAGGTGCCATGTAAACCAGCAATTATGGGCATTTGCATAGCACCTGACTTGCAGAAGGATCCCAAAGAGGCTCTCACAATCCTGCCCTAAGAATCACTTGACTCATCACTGAAAGATAGGGGATGTAAATCAACTCGGGAACCCTGTAGAACAGGAAGTAAAGAATACAATTGGATAGCACAGGGATTTTTACGAAGCACGGAGACATTTAGTGGTAACAAGATTCAGAGACCCCCCCCACCCCCTAATTGCAACAGGACCGTAGAGCCTTGCAAATCCAAGGATATCCACATCCACAGGTATGGGGGTGTGGATATCCACCACTCATTTTTCTGGATGTGGATACAAATTTTGTACTTAGAACCCTTCAAATTTGTGGATATCTGAGGATGTGGAGGTGCGTATCCACAGCTCAGTTTTATGGATGTTGCTACAACATTTTGTCTCTGCGCAGAGCTCTCCAGAACGGATTGTAGCCAGTGCTTTTTGAAAATTTGTACACACTGTGTGTGTACATAAAGAGAAACTTTTTATATATACGGAAATTATTATTAGGCAAAAATTATAGCAGAGGGGTCTTTTTCAGATATTTTGCTCTCAAAATAGTAGCTGGAATCTATCTACATTGTGGGATTGTCTACAAAAGGCTTTATATTTCAAAAAACACTAATAATATTTAGTACTTCTGCAGCATTCTTCATGCTCACTGCACTTTACACGTATTCAATGCACCCAGTAGTTCTGTGATGTGCATTCTTACTGCTTCCAAATGCAAAATCCATCCTAGTCTGTCTTGTGGCCACAAATAACCCTTCACCACTGTGGGACAGGAAGAGACACTCCTTCCTTCACTGTTAGTTTTTGCAGGTTACGGAACAGAGGCAGAGAGTAGCTGATTTGCATGAAGCCACAGAGGGTATGTCTGCGACTATCCCTTGGTTAGCTGACTCAGACTTGCAGGCCATGGTCTGCAGGTTTTAATGATGGCCGAGTAGGTGTTTGTTAGGGCTTGGGCTATAACCTGAGCTCTGGCGCACTCTACTGTTGCAGGGTCATCCCAGCCCTGTATAGCTCAAATCAGCTGTCCCCATTTTGACCTACCCAGAGAAGTCTGTAGGAGAGCCAGGACTGAAATGTGAGGCCCTGATTCTGAGTTCAGCTGTGGAAAATGTACTTAAAAAGTTGGAAACACTACTAAATTAAATGTTTAGTCTGCAGTCCTATCTCCATCACATTCTTGTTAAGTATGGAGTGAGGTTTCATGCTAGAGTCGGTCAGAAGCTTAGAGGTGAATTTGCAAACACCGCTGCCAAAGCTGGACCAATGAAATACCCAGATGCCCACTGCTACATGCGTGTCTGTCTGTCTGCGTGCACAGAGGCCTGTTTGTGGGTTCAGTTTAAGTGACAATGTTTGAAAACTAGTATTCTGTGTCCCAGAGGGCAAAGATTTCTTTTTACTCTAAGGCTACATCTACACTGCAGGCTTCTTGCACAAGAACTGTTTCGCGGAAGAATTCTTGTGCAAAAGGTCTTCCACAAGAGCACATCCACACTGCCATGTGCTTTTGCGCAAGAGTATCTATGGCAGTATGGATGCTGTCTTGTGTAAGAAAGCTCTGATGGCTATTTTAGCCATAGGGGTTTCTTGTGCAAGAAATTCATGTTGCCTGTCTACACTGGCCTCTTCTGGAAGAGCTCTTGTGCAAGAGGGCTTATTCCTCGTGGGGAGAGGAATAACTCTTCTAGAAGAAGCCCTGTTTTCTGACACGGTACTGTAAATATACTTGCGCAAGAACGCACATGCAGCGTAGACGCTCTGCCATTCTTGTGCAAAAAGTCTGCAGTGTTAGACGTAGGCAAACTGAATATGTCAACTTGGTTCTTCTGATACTTGCTATGCATTTTTAGGAATCTGTGAAATTTCATGGCTAAATATTTGGGGACTTGCTAGAGGGGAATTTCATATTCACAATGGCTGAATGCTGTGACAATACTTTTTTTTTTCTTAAACAGGAGAAAAATCACCAACATTCCTTGAACGCCATACATCGTGCTGATAAAATTCCTTTCCTCCAGTCACACACTATGCCAAGGTAGGACACTCCTCAGCACAGTCTAACAAGGTGTGCTGCATGCTCAGGAAATACACTTGAAGCGTGGTTCTCATGTGGTACATAAATCTTGGCTGAGCAGAAGGCTTGCTTTGTTGGGTGGGTGGGGGGAATCTGTATAGGGTTAAATTCTGTTCCCATTGAAGTAAATGGGAACTTTTAAGCCAGTTCCTCCCAGCAATGGATCTTGCTCCCCCCTTACTGTCTCTCTTTGATAGAGGCAACGGGGGTGGAGTGACTAGTTGAGTCGACTGTCCGATAAGCACTTGCTTATTGGATTGGTGACTAGTCGCTAACATCCCTACTGACAATATTGAGTAGTAAATTCAAACAGCCACAGAGATTTTTGTCCCAGAATGCCCAAGGGTTAACAAGCGATCTTTATTTTAACTGCATCACATGCAGTACAACCTAAACGGGTGCTGCTTGTTGTTTGAGTACCTGACGTGATGGATAATAAGATTTCCATATTTGGAGGATTGTGCTAAGAACAGATACCACAGACTGCAGCCACCACTTGAATATTTGTAAGATTAAGCTCCTGAATATTGTAGTATTTATGTATAAATTCAGTGAGACTTGAACATTCATGCAATTTCTACACACATCGTTTCTTGGACCAAAGCATTATTTTGTCCAGTAAGCAGTAAAATGTCAATCATTCAGAAGTGGTGTTTGGTGATGAAAGAAGTTGGGGAGGAATTATTTGACCCTTTCAAAAGGCTGCAGAAACATGAATTCAGTCCATGTGTTTTACCTTGTTTTCTTTTTGCATCCAGCCCTCCACGAACTCCAGTGAAAGTTGTGCCTCAAATTAGAATAGAACTTGAGCCTGAAGAGAATGGTTATTTCTGGAGGAGCAGGGGAACAGAAACTACTTTGTAATTTTGTTTGTTAAACTTATACTGAACTTTTGTCAGCCAAATATTAAAATGCTTCCCTGCCGCACAGGTAAATCAGAAACACACTGTACCTTTCTCGCCCAGCTTTTCCACTCTCAACCAACATTCTTTTTTGCCTTCTGTCACTCAGACACACACACCCCACTAATGTTTTTAAGCAGAGGGCAGAAGTATTAAGGATATTTTATAATACCTTTGTGAAATGTCAGAGGAACTGACATTACCTTAGTTGTGAATCAGTGTTTGTTTGTTTTTTGTCTGGCAGAACAAAAACTGACCTCCAGGCTAATTCAATGTCTTTAACTCCACCGCTCTACACTACTGGAAAGTGCTGCTACACTAACTTGTTCTTAAAGCCTATGTTTGTAGTCTCAAGAGAAGGAAAACTTACAAGGTACTTCACTCCCAGCACAAACTATCGCCAGCATTGTAGCATGTGTTCTGAGATGTCCCTTTCCTATGCAACTTTTTTTTTTAAACACTTTAATGGACTTATCTGTCAGGTACACTGAAGAGTGTTATTTTCCTAGATTGTTTTGTTTAAATTATGGGGCCTAACCTGCAACTTTTTTTGTCAATTTTTTTTAACTTTTTTAATTATTGTAAAGAAAAATGAATTTTTCCTGCAGCAGGAAACATATAGTTTGGAGTAGTTCTACCTCTTATTTCTAGATGCCAGGCTTTCTGTAAAAAATGTATTGTATAATATGTGATTTTTATAAAAATTACAGTCTAAGTCATGGCATAGGGCTGGATCAGTTTAATACCTTCCTTTGAAACTTTGTTTCTTAATTTTTTTTAATAAATACAAGACTAGCGGTACATGAAAGTGACAGGATGCACGTTAACTCGTCTACTGTTTAGGAAAAGACTTACATTTAATGGCAATAACAGTATCAGTGGACAGATGCTGATTGTATTAATTTTGTTGCTTTCCAATACAGTACTGTTAGAATTATTCTATGTACAAATGTGTGTGTGGCTATACATGTTTGCATGTAAACAGAGTGGACACCAGAATCATAGGATTAAGGGAGAGAGAAGTAAGGTTTAAACCTATGTATAGACAGCTATAGCATTTCCTACGTAAAGCCACCACTTAGTCATGAAGGTCTACTCTCTGAATGCGGATACTGTACTGTACTGTACTCCCCCTAGAGCCATTCACTGTTATGTGTAGAACTTTCTGTGGAGCCCATCATGACAAAGATACCATGTGGAATGCATCTTCTAAACTGGGTAAAATCTCCCCATTCACACTCATTACTTCACTTTTAAACAAAGCAGGCAATGTCTATTTGGGATGGAGGTTCTTTTTTTTAATTCAGTCTAAATGTACCAAACCATGTTGGATATTGGGCATTACAATGGAAGTTATCCACGTGCCTGTCGGATACTGTTTGGCCTTTGTGAGGGAGCAATCTCGTACGGGACAGGACCCTGGGTTGCTATACAGTGAAAGATCTGCTCCCGTTCCCTTTGACTTCACTGGGCAGAAGATCAGGCCTCATGTTTAACTCCATATTCATTTTTAAATGAACGCGGACATCCCCACAAACTTTGTACGCACATCAGTTTTGTTCCCTGAGGCATCGGAAGAACTAATGGCCTACAAGGCTGTCATGAAAAGAACAAAGCCCTTCTCCAACTAACAACATAAATGTCATAGTAGTACTGAATGTCAAATTTTAGTCTCCAGTCAGTAACAGCCACACCACAGGCATAAACTATTATAGAATAGGGGTTTTTTCCCTTGTCCAAATGTGCTATAGGAGTCTCTTGATGTTTTTTTTTAAATAAAATGTAATAGTAAAAGTCAGCAGAACTATGGACCATAATAATTGCACCCTGATCTTATTAGTGCTAGGGGAGAGGTAGCACTGGCATTACTGAAGCTACATCATCTTGCAATAAGCCCATTTTTCTCCCACTGGCAGGGGTATTATTTGAGAATTACACTTACAAGACTGTAGTGTGTCATGTTTAGCAACAATATCTCACACACACACTTTGCGGGTGGGGTGGTACATTTTAAACAAATGCCAAACACAGCCTTTAACAAACAAACATGCACCCTCCTGTTCCATTGTTAGACGCTCTAAGTTCCAGCCCATAGTCAGTCCGCTGTTCAGAACTTTCCAGGTGACAGCACATTACAGGGAAGGCAAGGCAGCGCTTTTCCTGGGCAGATCAGCATCCCATAAAAAGTTCAACCCTGATTGTCCTAAATGACATCTGAAACATTCAGAAAAACCAGGAAGGGAGTGTCTGTTGCCTTCAGCTAACAGCTCTGGCTAACTGGAGGGTGGATAATCAGGGATGTGCTAAGGCCAGGCAATGTGAATTTAAAACAAATATAAAACACTGTATTCATTCCTCTGTAAAAATCCCAGCCCACTATAATGTGAAACCAGAGAGCCAAGTACCATGTACAAAGCACGTGGTGTGTAGGATTTTGTTCACCACCCTCTAATTTCAGTTTAGAGAAACCCAAATGTGCTTGCTAATGAAGGATTGGAATAAATTAGTGCTGGACAACAGCAGATTTCCTTAAACTAGCACTGAGGGAAAAGAAAATAAGAACTGCTTACAATATATTAAAGAACCAAAACACTCCCTCCCCTCCCCCCCACCCCAACTTGCTATTACCTGGCAATCAATCTCCAGAAAACGAGGTCTTCCACTTTTGAACCATGTTAAATGTACTTGAAATGTATTGACTGCTGATTTCTGGTGTCGTCTTTTATTTAAGAGATTGAGCTTTTGTACAGAGGGGAATACTGTCCTTTCATTTATACATACAATTCTTTGGTAGCAGACACCTGCCGTTTTTCACAACCCAATAGCAGTAAACTAAAAAGGTGTGTGTTTGTTTAACACAACAAAAAAACCTGATGGCACCAAAAGATTAAATGCAGCGAAATGGCCCTATGCTATCATTAGCCTATCTGGGGGGTCCCCTTTCATTGCACTTTATCAGCCTTGTCACCATAAATAATTATGTAAAAAAAATTGTGGGGATGTTTGAGGGGAAATTTTGGCTCAACACATTTGTGTTGTGTGAGTGCATTTAGGAGCTGAATCAAAGTCCACTGAAATCAACGGGCACCCTTAATGAGATGAGCGTACATTTAGCGCTGCTACTCAGGGCTCATATTATCCAGTGAAACTTCAAAACAAACACTAGATAACTTGATCCCAACATACAATGTGAAAAAGGATGATTGTCTCCCTTTGTCTTAGTAGCCATTCATGTGGCTGATTATTCATTACGTTTTTGGAATCAACACGCACTTTCAGATACTTCTGTTATTTTTAATCCTTTTAAGTCTGTGTTTGCTTTGGAGGAGAGAATAAAAACTTATTTTAAAATGAAGTAATCAAGATGGTGGAACAAAAAGGAAAAAAAACAGAAAACATTTCAATATATTAATGATTTTTTCCAATAATATAAAAACGTGAAATTCCTTATAACATTATAGTATTTTACAGTTTTATGAAGCTTTCTATTGTGACTTTTATGGAATCAAGAGATGAACAAGATGAGATATTTTAGCATTTATATTTTTCAAAATTAAATGTGTACTGAAAATAAAAGTAACTTTATGCATTTATTGGCGAGTTGGTTTCTGTTCTGACTGCTGCTTTGTTGAAGAAAGATTATTAGTATGCAGAGGGCAATGTAGTGATCTTTCTGGGCAAAACGTTTGACAGATTCCTTTCCTATTTAGCTCAATGAATCTAGAAACTGGGAGAATTGCTAACAGTTACTGGGAGACTTGGGGCAAAATCCTGAGTTGGTGTAAATCTGCATTGCTAGAGGAAGATACGGCCCTCAGGGTTTCAAAAAGGCTCTTTAATCTGATGGCAATGCCCTCCCGTTAGGACACCTTAATACTAGAACCTTTCAGATTCTATGTAACATGTTTCACTGCAGCAAACCCCAGGGTAGTTGCAGGGTAGGTTCAGCATAGACAAGCACCAGCTAGAATCCATGCCCATTGTCAAACCAATGCAAGTAAGTGGTAAAGGTCACATGCTACAACCCTTATTCATGCTCAGCTCTACTTGATTACCTCGGTTTCCCCCCCCCCCCCCCCCACACACACACACACGGATGGGTATGGAACCCCATAAATGACTAAGTCCTGCTCAGCATCACCAAGGATTAACGAACTGGGCTCACGCGTAACATCCCAGCCAGGCAATTTCTTGAATGTGATGAGCACAAAGACCTTGTCACAGGTCTGCTGCTATTGGCTCATTGTGACAATGACCATGTAACGGAGCAGGCTGTGCACACTTTAAGGGGCACATTTTCAAAGGCCCAGAGGGGAGCCTGTAAAGCAACAGGAGCTGGGTTTCGAACTGCCCTTTGGACCTTTTGAGTCTCTGCCTAGTCTCAAAGTCGGGCGGGGCTGCTGTGAACTGTCTTGGGGCTCAGAACCCCTGCCTGCACAGACCATCAGCAGGCAAATCCAGCTGAACAATAGGGGGAATGGTAGGCACCACACCTCCCTCTCCTACTGAGACTCGCTGCTTTGCAGTTTAACTCTACCGTGCTTCCGAGTTCCCATAACAGCACCATGCAGGGAACCGAAAGCCAGCAAGGAGCTTATGCTGTAGAGCTGAGACACAGCTGGATCGGCTGAGCTGAGCCTTGTTGGCCCAGCAAGCTTGCGATTAAGAATGGTACATTAAAGAATCCAACAGCGCTCCTGGCTTTCCCCAGTATCTAGAAGGAACCGGGACCCCGTGTTAAGCATTTTTCCCTAGGTTTTCTACCTGGTGCCAGACAGAGCGGATGCACAAATCTACTAGCAACTGCACCTGCCAAGCTGGTCGTCAGGTGCTAAATAAGCTCTTGGGTGCTCCCCCGACCTACAAAGCTCAGCAGAATCTTGCCCTGCTTTGGTCATTCCTTCTGCACCAGCCACCGAGTCCTGTGCGCCCTGTTCTTTCTGGACCTCCCTGCCTGGAGGGGTCTGCCCTGCTGTTTCTATCAGAGCAGAGTTACCCCATTGTGTTGGTTCAGTAGCTAGGCATCACTGTCTGCATAGTCTCAAAGGATCCCAACATATGTTGCTTTGGAAGTTCTATTGCAAAACCTTTACGCATGAGAAGTGCTGTATTAAATACTAGCCCCTTCCACCCGCAGGGAGACCGAACGCAAGCTTCTGATTTGGAACCACCGAGGGGTCAAATGTTGGGCTTTTCTTGTTACAAACAATGCGGGCAAGGGCCCTTTGATCAGAGATGTGCAGGGGTTGACAACATCAGTTTAAGGGGATACAGGGAGAGTTGCACAAGTGCTTCCTTCTGGCTAGTTTTTGTGGGTTCGTGCCCCAGGTGTCAATCCGAGTGTCAGGGGAACGAACACAACTTCTTAAGACTGTTCTCAGCAGCGAGGCGGGCCAAAGCCACTAAGGTTTGGTTTTAAACAGCCGGTTTAAGTTCCACTGGTACTGGAAACGGGTAGATTCGCTCAAAACTCAACCCCTCTTCCCAGTCCCCAGCCAAAACTGCCTATTTCAAATCTTAGATTTCACTAGGACAGTTTCTCACAGTGCCAATCCTTGGCATTGGCCAGCAGCAACATGCCTCCATTTCTTAAGTCAAAATTGCCCTTCACTGGCCTTTACCCCACGGATGTGTCCGTCCTCACAGTTAGGACTGGACGTGCTGTATGGTAAAAAAAACCCCATAAAAACAAGCTAAGCCTTTCTCCTGATTCTAGAGTCTCACTTTGAAAGTCTCGGCGGCCCTATAGGTAGCTAGGTGGCCTGGCTTGCCTTCTATGTTCCCAGACCAGTTCCACTTCAGAGAAGGATTTTACCATGACGAGAGGAAGGGAGGGTTACTGACTGACATGTTTTTGTGAAGACAACCCGAGCTGCTTGCCTTAGGTTAGCTGAGCCACCCAGCTCCAATTTAAGGAGCAGTTGGGGATGGAAGCCAATGAAAATCACTAGCGGCATCCTTAGAAGATCTTCAGTTTGCCATGGCATTACATTACTGCTGCTGTTAAAGGCACACAAGATCTCCAACTCCAGCCCGTGTTTTCATATCAAGCTCATCAGAAACTGGACCCTCGCTGCTTACTAGGAATCTCTCAGCCTTGCCACAAATCCCGTCAGTAGAAACACAGCGCACAGCAGGGCCTTATCCTTTGCTTTCTTCCGAGGGACTCCGGGTCAGGTGTGCAGCCTGTTAGTTATTCTCCAGGCCTGGTGCGGGAGTGACATGCAGCGTTGCAGCCTAATTTACAGTGCGCTGACTTTGTCTAGTTTCCGAACTGCTGGTCCCTTTCGCTCCTTTTTCTAGGACAGGATATAAAAAGCTGCACTCAAGTGAGGAGATGCTTGCAGGATGAACAGGGAAAGTGAGCCGGCAAACCAGACAAACTCCCATGTAGTGTATGGATAATGCTGTGAGCAGGACCCAATAGATAAGCGAAAGGCAGAGAGCGGTGTAACACATGTTGCCAAACACCTGGACATGATGTTTTTGAAACATTTCCCAGTGACCCATCAGGAGGAATTGAATCCAACTCCCTTACCTGCAACTAATGAGCACACATGGGGGTAAGAAGGGGGGGTACTTTATGCATTCACTTTTGTGAGCAGAACTGCAATTCCAAGATCGCTTCAACTCAGATGCGATGAGGAGAGAGCGACAGACCAGGAAAGGACAGTCACCTCCCCGTCTTTAGGAGCAGTCCATAAATTACATCACGTATGTGCTTAGTGATTTTTTTTTTTTAGACCCACCTACGCTCTAATAATCAAAACAAACATGCAAAGGACCCCCCTGCACTACACGATGTAAGTTATGGACAGCCCTTTAGAGGGGAAAGGCTCAGCGTGCTTGGCAGGCTATACAGTACCAAACCCATGGGTAGTTGAGAGAGCAAAAGAAAATGTCACTAAGCAACAGAGTTTAGTTTAGTTTCAAGGAGTCGCAATACACAGGGAAGGGAAGCACTCCATTTAAAAAAACCATTAAAAGTCCCCAAGACAGCCCTGTAAAGGTGTGTGGAATCTAGCAGTTACAAAATGAGTTTGCCAGTCCAGAGAGGAGGGTCAATTCTGGCTCTTCTGCTGACAAGATGCTCTCCAGGAAGGTCAGTAGCAAACAGCTCATGGAGCACATTTTGAAAGGAAATTTTGTTTCGTCTAAAATTTTAGTTCTGCTGTAATCACTACAGTACCATATGGCATTTTTAAGGCCACACGGTCCTCGGGCAGTGCAAAGGAGCATTAAACTTTTGCACCTGTTTTATACTCCTAGGGGAATTCTCACAAAGACTATGGGACCAATTCCTTAAGCAGGCTGGCTGCTACGTTCTGCTTTACCTGTGGGGACAGTGCCTGCCCCACGCCTAACCCCTTAAAAACCCCCACATCCTGCCCCTGCATGCCAAGTATAGGACTGACTCCAAACTTAAGTGCATTCTAAGCAGTCAGTCTTTGCTGTTTGGGTAACTTGATTTAAATCAATGATTTTTTTTTCAGGGGGGTGACTTCTTGATTTAAATCAATCCACCCTGGTCTTGATGGCATTATACTTAATAGAAA